TGCGATTGTCTTGGATAATGTCACGGGATCGGTGGATAGGATCTCTTGGGGTGAAAGATCAGATGGGCTGTTTACGGTGAGCTCGGCGTATCCCATGTTGACCAGAGATGAGTCTCCAAGGCAGGATATGGGGAAACTGTTTACTAGAGTCTGGAAAGCTGTGGTGCCGGAGAGGATTAGAGTCTTTCTCTGGTTGGTGGTGCACCAAGCTCTAATGACCAATGTCGAGAGGCATAGGCGTCATTTGTGTGCTGCGGCCTTGTGTCAGGTTTGCAAGAGTGGGGATGAATCTATTCTTCACATTCTTCGGGATTGTCTGGCTATGTCAGGACTATGGCTGCGATTGGTCCCTCGGAACAGGTCTCACGCTTTTTTTGCAAAATCATTATTGGAATGGTTTTTTGCAAATTTGGGAGAAGACCATGTGATTGCATGCAGCCCGTGGGCAACAATATTTGGCATGGCAGCATGGTGGGGGTGGAAATGGAGATGTGGGAATGTCTTTGGGGAGATTGGAAAATGCAGAGATCGGGTAAAGTTTATTAAAGATCTTGCCAAGGAGGTTACACATGCATACGGGTTGATGGGAGGAGGGCTGATTGGGGGAGCGAGGGAGGAGAGGTTGATAGCTTGGACACCGCCGAGTATTGGGTGGACTAAACTTAATACGGATGGTGCTTCGAGAGGAAACCCGGGGCTTGCAACCGCGGGGGGAGTATTACGGGATGGAGATGGGGTTTGGCAAGGCGGTTTTGCTTTGAACATAGGCATTTGTTCCTCTCCGTTGGCAGAGTTATGGGGAGTATACTATGGGTTATATATAGCGTGGGAGCGAGGAATAACGCGTCTTGAGTTGGAAGTGGATTCGGAGATTGTGGTTGGATTTTTAAAGACAGGGATAAATGATTCTCATCCGCTGTCGTTCCTGGTACGTTTGTGCCACGGCTTCATATCGAGGGACTGGATAGTCCGTATTGCTCATGTGTATAGGGAGGCTAACCGTCTTGCAGATGGATTAGCGAACTATGCGTTCTCTTTACCTTTAGGTTTTCATATGTTTCATTCTAGATTAGAGGCTCTCAATTCGATTATTCTTGATGACGCTAATGGGACTGCGCGTCCAAGAAACATTCGTATGTAATTTTATTTATTTTTAGTTTAATAAATTGTGGGAGGCATTGCCTCTCTCCTACCAAAAAAAAAAATCATATATAGACGAAAGTATCACATCGTGAAAAAAAAATTAAATTTTGATCTCTCTCTCTCTTTTTCCATTTTTGTCAACACATTGATCTTTCGTGTACACATATATTTGATCTTAGAATATAAAATACAGAGGAAAACATAGCATTTCCACCTTTTTATTCACGTGATCAACAATATCATCACCACCATAACTTATAGAGATGATGTAACATTATGTAATGAAAGCACAACACATGAGGTGTTTACATAAAATATCTCTGAAGTTAGGGAAAACACATCCGAGATATTAATTCGATGAGGTTGAAAGCTAACATGCATTGTTGGAATTCTTCTCATTGGCATCACTATCACGATCAACGTCAACTTCAAGCTCAAGTGCGGCTTTGTTCTTCTCATCATCATTCCTTCTGCTCATCACCATTGTTGTTGGTGCTAATTCCTTCTTATTCTTGTACTTGAAGTAGAGGACAAGTTGGAGAATCCCCAATGGAGTCGCCACCATATTAGGTGACTATGTAAATAAATCAGTCAATATATGCCATCATCAAAACCATGCACATGAAAATCTCAATGATTTATTACAATGTAACTAAGCTAATTATATATTCACAATACCACTGAATCACCATATGAATTGATTAACGTCAAATTAGTTTGTGATCGATCACCACAAAAATGGACTAAATTTTAAGAATTCATCAGAAAAACGATTTTTTTTTTTTCGACAATTTCTCTTTTCAGTCCACAAAACAAGAAGTTTTTAAATCCACATTTAGTATTTTTGGACTGCTATTTAAGTATTTTAAATTATGGAAAATGAGCGAATTAGGAAAAAAAAGACGAACCGCAAGAAAGAGATCATGGCTGAGTAAGCCATATGCCAACCAAAGGGAACTAGCCAGAAATGAGAAGAAGGACAAGTAGAACGGCATGTATTCCACACTTTTTGTCTCTATCACTTTCTTCTGCGCACGCACAATATTCACATTAATTAACACACACGCATTCATATTTTTTGCCAAACGAAATATCTCTAACTAATAGTTGGTTATTTCCTTTGGAAAATAGGGAATTTTTTTAATGTGACATAGTATTTTTTTTTTTTTTTTTGATAATTATATAGATGCATATATCTATCTATGCATGGCTTACCATAACGATGAGAGGAGAACCGTACATGGAGATGGAAGCCACGAGGCCAACACTTCCGACGAAAGATTTCCGGTGGCGGTGGTCGTCAAATACCACGGCTGAGATTGCTGTCGTTAAGCCGAACACAACGATCACCGGAACAAGTGTAACACCAACCTTAATCTATTTCAAAGTTAAGTATATATGGATCAGTGTCACTAATTTTTATTTTTCCCAATGAAAAAAGTATCATATGATTTTAATGAATACTTTACCTTTTCTTTGGGCGACGCATAGCAGAAATACATGAAAATGAAGATAGATTCGAGAAGGATGCCGACTCCATTAATGGTGACGAGAGGAAGATTCTCCCAAAGATGACTCACAATCGGTAAACCGTACCAAGTATAAATCAAACAGTTGAAGAGTGTCATAACGTAAGGAAAACATGAGAATTCCTCTGTGCTTTTCTTCTTAAACACCCTTGAAAATGTTAATCTACATTAACAAAAAGAAAATGTTAGTCAACATGCCCACCAATAAAATAATTAGAGGTTTTCAAATTAAATTGGTGATTTATAAAGTTTCATTCACGTACATTGGAGCTGTATAGAGCAACAAGGAGGCTCCGTTTCCTGTAGAGTGACCATAAAAGTTCTTAAAATCCCAAAAAAAAAAAAACTCATACAAATATGTTTCGTGTAGATACCATGTTACAAACAAAAATCATTTTCTGAAAATGTTAGATAGAAAATTATAAGTTTAAAAGTTAGAAAATGTTTTACAAATCGAAAAAGAGCATTTGGTACAAAAAAGTAAAGAAAAAAATACCCAAAATTCCGATGGATAATCGAAGTTTATCACCCATTTGATTGGAAGTTTATCACCCATTTGATTGGCCGGAAGAACAAAGATTAGGGAATCGTTGGGAAGTAGGAGAGTTACGTCTATAATGGGTGTGTATATATATATATATATTATAATTTTTCTTTTGGTGTTCATTTAAAAATAATAATCTAAATTTGATCACAAGTTAGGGACATTTGGTAATTTAACATTTTTGTTCCAAATATTATATTGGTGGTGATCAAATTAATAACAATTAAGTATTTTTTTCCCGAAAACATAGAGATTAAGCTTAAACTAAAAAATATTCTATTGAAAATTTTAGAATAACACACAATTTGCATACACGGATGTTTCATTAACTAAAAACTAACCTAGAAAGATGGTAACATATATATTGAAGCAGTCAGAATTTTGTAATAGTTCAATTCTTAAGTTTTTTAAATTTAATTTCAAACTGTTGGAGTTATCAGACATTATTAGACGTGTGTGGAGATTAAATTGTTGTTTATATATACATTGTCCTCCTTAAACTTATTATATACACGCATAACATTAGATGATATATCACACAAATTATGTGTTTCAACAACCTATTATAGCAACCATTTCATCACAAATTACAAACGCATATATCCTACAAAAAAAAAAAAAAAAAAAAAAAAAAATTTGGTATTAATTATGTCGGATTATAACCTTATATATTCATCAAAGAATTTTTAAAAAATAAAAAAATTTGATTTCTTTTTATAGACTGTGAAGGTTTCACGGGGCACATGAACCTTTACATTTACAGGGACGATTCTGATGCGCAAAAAAAGGTTATCTAATTCGTACACACACCTCTTTTTTTATAGTTAAAGAAACACACAAACTTTGATTATTTTGTTAAATTCCGAATCAAATAAAGAAGGCTGTTGTAAACTGTGTTGTTCTATTGATTAATGAATGAGATTTCGATACATATATATACATGATGAGGGGAGACAAATCCCCATTGGGCTAGTAAACCCTAAAGCCCAAAAGCCCACTAAGTACAATATAGGCCGTCATAAGGAGAATCTTCAAGAACATGGGCATGGGCCTTCTAGGACATGGACATGGGCCTTCTAGAATATGCATAAGGTCCACGGTTATGGAGTCCATCCAACATGTGGTTTATAACACTCCCCCTTGGATGACATAACCGTGTAGATGCCAAAGGATCTTAGTAATACGCTTGGGGATGCTGCCTCATTAAAACCTTACCAGGAAAACCCATTGGGACAAAACCATGGTTAAGGAAAAAGAGTACAGCACGTATTACTCCCCCTGTTTTGGTCATCCCTGCAAGTCCTTAAGTCTCCGCATTCCAATTTGATGCGTGAGCTTCCTCAATGTCGATGTTGGTAATGCCTTGGTAAAGAGATCGGCTGAGTTGTCGCTGGATCGAACTTGTACCACTCGAACTTCTCCATCCCTTTGCAAGTCATGCGTGAAGAAGAACTTTGTTAGAATGTGCTTCGTCCGATCTCCCTTGATGTAGCCGTCCTTGAGCTGAGCGATACAGGCTGTGTTGTCTCC